CTATAGTGTGTGTGTGTGTGTGTGTGTGTGTGTGTGTGTGTGTGTGTGTGTGTGAGACAAAATTATTTCCATTCATTTATATTTTTCCCCATATGCGCCTGTACGTCGGCTTCTTAACGAGTTGCTAGTAATAGAATCGGCGTGTCAACGCACTTGACACTCGTTGAGAGATGCGATCGACGGAGGAGAAGGATGGGGCGCGTCATAAAGGACGCAGTCAGCGAACGCCGTTTGCAAGTACAATGTGGAATTAATCAATTATCGTGCACGGATGTGCGTTAAGCTCCCTTTCACGCGAAATGCCGGAGCACATGGGGGATACGTTCTCATTGTCTCTCGTCTCTATCCAAACGCCACGTTTACTACACAACGTACTCTCGCCAGTCGCTGAACACATACACATTGTGTCTGAACAACAATTGTATTTCGTGTGAAAGGGAACCCGACGTCTGTGCGTTCAATTACACAGGTACACACGTACGCGTCGTGAGCGTTGAAAAGTTCAGGCGTGAAAAGCGGGCATTATGAAAGAACGAGACTGAAACTGCGGCTCTAATGATATTAAGATATAATAGACATCCGCGTTTCGGCGATCAATCGGCATACGGTTGTAAACAACGAACTCAAAATCCTCGCGAGCTTGTTTTCATCGACTTCTAACGACTTGGCAAACTCGAGAGACCTTAGAGTTTGTGTTCTCAGGCGGAAACAGTTGGCGGTTCGCCAGTAGAAGCAACAGCCGCGATCGCCCACATTTTCTTAATTTCACTTTTAACGTAATTGGGCGCCTACGTACGATTCACTAGCAAATTTCGGGGATATTCGCACCGCGCACACATTTGCACGTCAGGTTCCATCGAGGATCTGGCAGAAATTCAAAGTTTATGTACCAATCATAACTCTCCCGGATTCGACAATCGAGAATTATTGCATAGCATAACAACAATATTTGCACGACTAGTCAGACGATCCATTAGCACGAATAGCCAATAAACGAGGTAAAATAAAGCTTTGAGAGATATTAGTTATTAAATTTCGATATCTTTCTCGCATTAAAAAATTAATTAAACTTCAATAAATTAACTATGCGACCGCAACGAAATTGCTTTATGATAATGCAGAAAGGATATAAAGCTATTATATATGACAAAAAATCCGTCCTGCATAAACACGCGAGAATATAATAAAAAACACCATAAATGATGATAATTTGGTCCAAGCTATTTTTAAAATAGCGAGATAATTTTCCTCCATATTAAAAAATCTTTCGGATAGCTAATAATTTATTTCGTCGAATAAATTATTAGCTATCCGAAAGATTTTTATGTCCGGCACGGAAAGCACGACGCAACGACGTCTTTAATCCGCCGAAAAGAAATACTCCACGCGAAAAAAAGTATATAAATATAATAAAAGTATTTTCGATATCTTTTACACGATACGTATAGACATTTCAATAAATCGGACGATCTTTCATAATCCCGCTCTCGATCATGCTTTTGCAATCGCGAACGCCGCGAACGGAAGACACGCGCGGACAGATATATCGTGTGTTTTCGTTTACGTACAATCTGTCTTATCCGCAATTTGTCTTATCGCCCTGAGGCCCTTTCGGCACTCGAGCCGCGGCTGGGCAACGAGTGTGTCGAGCGCAATTATCACGAGCGAGAGTGCATGTGCGCAGTTGCAAACGAAAACTGCACGTATCTGAATATTACATGCGTCTCTCTCTCTCTCTCTCTCTCTCTTCCCCTTTCCTCTCTCCCCCCGCCCCCTCTCTTTCTCTCTCTTTCGCTCGGTAACGCGTGTTTCAAGCGCCTTTTGTTACGCGCGGCAAAAGCAGCGATACTCTTTCCTCGCTGGGTATGACGCTTTGGTTTACTGCGCCACGGGCACTTCGTAAATAGCGGCACGAAAGCACATACATTATCGCGCCGAGCGTGAGAAAACGTTTTATGCAGTCCAACAAAAACGCTGTTTTCGAAGTTTAAAATTGGAATTAATGCTCCCTCCGCTATTTAGCGGTACAAAGATAGCATATCTGTCTCGTATATCTACGCGAAATTAATATTAACTCTTTCAAAAAAAAAAAATAAAAGAAAAAAAATAGCTGCCGTTTTCAGAAAAGCAAAAGAAAAACAAATTGTGTTACGAGTTAAAAATAAAATACTCTTATCTTATTTATCGAGAAGTTTTTACGCGATTTGTTTGCACGTGTGAATATTATTTATCTGTAATACTTATAAGAAATTCTCGATAAATATGCAAGCAAATTTCAATGGAATAGAAAAAATGTCATTACGCTTCCAGCGATAAATCAGTGGCTTGCAACACGAAAATATAAGTACATCTCGGACATCAATATTCAAATTCATCGTTTTAACTGTCTACATTTTTTTGAGATTAAAAATATTCGTTTGCGCAACGTGCGGTCACGTGATTTCGCGCGATGAGAAACGTGGCTCGAAACGCAATAGGCGTGCGTCTACACCTTACAATTCCTTCCACGAAACGCACGTATTTATGTACGCAAGAGAAGAGATGCGTCTCCGTCCGGTGCATCCAGTTCGCCGAACAGACGAAACAGCAGAAATCGAGCGCAGGAGCCGGAGCGAACGGGCGTGTTTGCGGTTCCGTGGCGGACGTGGACGGAGATAACGCATTAAAATAGTACGCCGGCGTACGCGATAACACGTACTTGTAATATCTGCTGCGAGACGTCGTTCTCCTCGCGATGATATTAACGCGATGATAAACCACATTAAACCCGGCGATGCCGAGCAGTGGCGCCGCCCTTTGTTGACGTCTTTCCCCGACAAAGATTGACAACCAACACGGTTCATCCCATGATTTTATGATCGGCTTCGTCACAATTAAATTAGCGATAACATGTAACAAAACTCTTTCGCGTTATTGGATCGATAAAAATAATATATATATATATATATATAATAATATATTAAATGATATAAATGTTTTATGCTGTCGCATTTCTTATAATTCCCCCAAGCGTGATCGTGTATCGAATTTTAATTTAGCTATTTATAGCTATTTATAGCTTATATCAATTTCTGTTTGAAAATCGACCAAGCTTTGATTCGAGTTTTGTCGTTATCGCAACTGTGCATCACGAGCGCGCATAATTGTCTATTTTTGTTTCAATGATAGCGACTGTTAATAAAAATGATTTGCATAAACCTCGCAAAAAGCCCCAAAGTACGCATACCGATATGACACGTGTTTCTATTCGATACGACAAGGAAGTATATTGATAAAAATATAAACATTGCAAAATTTAATCTTCTTTTATTCATTTTGCATCTCGCTTCGTTTTTAACTGTAAAGTTAATAAATCCAATAAAAAAGTAATATAGAATGTTAAACGATTAGTGTAAGCAATTATATAACATTGTATTTATAAATAATAAAATTGTCATTATTATTAAAATATACTTATTTAAATATTAAAATATAATTTAGAAATCAATAAATCGAAAGAAGTTATGAGCTTACCTAAACAACATCGCAGAGCGACTCAGGAAGAAGATGGTCGAAGTTTTAATGCTACGTTGTAAGCATATTGCTCCGAATCTATTCTCTTCGCAGTTTCAGCCTGGACGTCAAGCCACCTGTAATGATGTATCATCTCAATCGGATAATAATCCTACGAACATCGTGCGACAACAACTGGACGAAGAATACATTATAAAATCGATTAAAGATAGAGCAAAAACATGCGAACAAAGAATAATGATTTATCTTTTATCTACATTAGTGTCGGTCCACAATAGGTGATTTAAGCTTTAAGAAGTAAGAAATTGACCAATTATAATCGAATATGAAAAAAATACTCGACTATGATTGGTCAATTTCTTACGGCTTAAAGATTAAATACTTATTGTGGACCGACACTTACTGGACGCAAAGTGTGAAAGGACAAACTTTGACTCGTATCTTGAGTTTGTCTTGAAATCTATTTATAAATTGCGTTGTATCATATATTAAGAGAAATACATAGAAAAAAAATATATATATATAATTATCGTTTTATTATTTAAAGATATGTACTAAAAATATACTATTTTCGCTAGAAGCTACAGAAATGTTATTTACTATTTGCAATAAAGCTATTTTTATCGTGCTATTAATATCGTGACTCAAAAAGTTGAATCTTGTTTCTCGTTAAGATAAACTCATAAGTTTTCATTATCTTAAAACGAGGGACAACGTAGGATCAATCTTTCCGCGACAGATATTAAAAATAGCTTTATTGCAAATAGTAAATACCTTTCTATAGCTTCTAATGAAATAGTATATTTTTAGTACATATCCCTTCCAATAAATAAAACGATATAATTATATAAAATATAAATATAATTTTTTCTTTTTAATATAATGCAATCCATAAGTGCAGATATCAAGATAAAGAATAGGCCAAAGTTTGCTCTCTTATTAAAAACAATCGTATTGTAAATAGCAAATATTTCCAAGTAGCTTCTCGGGCAGTTGAAATAAATACCCCCCGTACAATACCGTCACAAAATCAGAAAGAAACCACTCGGTAATAAGAAAAATTCGTCCATGAATGGGAGATGCCGCGGGAAAAACTGAATCGATTGCGAGCGCGGCTCAAGCCCACAAGTTGTCGTCGGGAGAGCCGCGCGTCCATCGATCCAACGAAAAAACACCGCCGCGGATCATCGCGTTTCACGATCGTGGCGATCCGTTACGATCGATAATCGACGGACGAAGGGACTTTGCGGTCGCACGGGATGCCGCGCCCCGAGACGACGTTGTGGAAATAACGGATGTGTAATCTCGTAGGCTTGATTTAAACGCTCGGATTAAGCGCACCTGTTTGGCGCGTGTCGCGCCAATCAACATCACGTTACACGTTGCTCAATCCCGCTAACGTCCCGCTACCGTAAACGTAATCGCGCGCGTAATTGAGGCGACACTCACGGATTCCTAATCGCGCGGATCGTGCGAGCCGCATTTAAGACCCTGATGCAACGGGCACGATTTTTCAAACTGATAACTCCGACCATTCAGTGGCAGTGACGATAATCACATCGCATTATGCACATATGATATTCCGTTTATCATATATTAAATCATTTTTTTCCTCCAACAAAAAAGCACGTACAATTTCTGCGAACTGTAATTGATTGGAGGGGGGAACAAAAAAAAAATGTTTTGACAAATCACATTACAAGACGAACAAACGGAAAGTTTTCCTCGGTTAAGAGAGAATAACTTAGACGAAAGTCTAAGATAAAATGCAGTTATCGAGATATTTAAACATTTGAAACGTGCGAAAGTGAGGTAGTACCTTAATTAAATCTTACTGGGAAAATTCATTCCAGTTTTCAACAAGAAATATCGTCATCAAATGCGCACTATTACCGCACATTCTGCGTAATATAATTTAAATGATTGCATTCGCGTTAGAGAGTAATGTCACGGGCTGTTGCCGTCACGGCATTCATTCTTGAAAAAACATTCGACATGACCGTACCTGCTCAGGTCGGGCTTACGATATGCTGATATATTTATTCTGTTCCGGATTAAATGATCTATTTTAAAAAATCAGAGATTATATAAAGTAACATATGTCTAATTACAGATATAAATATTTACAATAACAGATAAATCTAGAACGAGCATAGAGTGTAACGTTCAATTCGATTATAGCTTAATTAATATAGAGAAATAGATTTTTCTAAAAAATGATGCAAAAGAATATAATAAATGAAAAGATTCTCTTAATGTACGATAACATAATGTATGCAGAATATAATCTATTAAATAATATATCCTAATATTTAAAGATGCAACGATTAATTATATCTTATAAAGACGATTAATTATAACGAAAAAAATCGAATAGATAAGTAACGTAAAAGAATATTGCATATATCTGATTTTTATTACTTACATATTACGTATAAAGCGAAAAAAATGTATATTTGTTAAATATATGTTTAATAAAAAAAAAAACTGTAGAAAAATGCAAATTTTATATCTTTATATTTTATCCATTACGCAACTGAAGATATTGAAAAATACTATAAAAACTCCACTGTGTTTCATCTGACGTTTTTCCTAGTCGTACAGTAAATAACATTTTCACCGTGCATTCGCAATGTCGAACGATATTCGTCGATCGATCGACGATTTTCCGATCGGCGATTTATGCAAATGTAATCTTTGAATCAAATGACTTTTTCAGACAAGCGGTACAGCGATTGTATGACCGTAATGTGTACCGTATAATGAGAACTTGAAGAGGCAAATAGAAAAATAATATTATTATCCTATATTATCAAACATTTCTCCAGAAAGAGAAATTTACAGTTATGGAAAAATTGGGACGTCAGATCTTGCGCGTATATGTCAATAATTTAAAAGATTAACGTAAGATTTTCGTGGAGAGAATCTCTGTCTCGCTTCTTAGCCGCGTGGGAGCTCTAACAGTGACGTCAGTCGAAGATGCTGAGAACGCGGGGGATTCCATTATTCTGGCGCACACGATGCATCAGATAAAAAAAAGAGAAAGAGAGAAAGAGAGAGAGAGAGGGAG